ATTTTGTCCAAGCCACCAGCTAACTCCTTCAACACCTCTCAGCACTTCCCACTCCCCACTTTGAGCTTGTAAACTGCAATGTAGAATCCAGTCAGGGTAGCTGTCAGCCAGCTGATGGGATGGAAGAGCCACAGCTACGTGGCCAGAGACTGGCAGGGGCTCAGACTTGCATCTACTTTCCAATCCAATTAACTACCCAAAAAACCCAGCCTTCCCCAACACAACTGTGAGATGGGCCAAAATGAGAATCACAAATCCAAGCTCTTTGATCTAAACATCTCCCTGTGGCTTTTCTTCTCCGGATTCAAAGAAAGCAAAGTCTCACAAGTTTAGGGTAATCCAGAGGGTTGTTCATGAAACTGATCAATATTGAGAATTTTCTGCTAAATAGAGGTGACCCCTGGGGGGTAAGTGCTTGCCAGATTTCAGAGCTGTCTGATCTGAATGAAAACCTTCACACCAAGTGGCAGTCCAAATCTAAAAAGCCCTTCAAAGACCTCAAAATGATGGGATTTTATGACAAATGAAATGCAGACCACAGAGAGAAAGAACTGGTTTTTAAGCCAAATTTCCTTCTCTGTGAGGAATTTAGCACAGAAAAGGCTTAGAGTGAACTATTTGGATGGACCAAAAAAATACTTCTTATAGGGAAGTTTGAAATGAATGTAAATTACTACTACTCCATTTTCAAATAAACATTTCAAAATGGACAAAAAGCTGTGTTAGAAGTGCAATTCCTAGGGCTGTTCCCAGGTTTGACATTTGTAAGCTTAAATTGCCTCTTACACCTACATCTACACATGGAATCATTGCAGGTAAGTTGTATTTCTTTGACTGGGAACTATCTGCACAAAAGCAGTGACTCATAAATTAAATACCTAGGGAAGGAATACAAGGCATATTGAATACTGCTATGCTCTTTTAGTGATGACAGGTATAAGTGACACATAATTTGGCCAGACACACCAGAAAAGAAATCCAAAATAAGCACAGAGAACCGTGCAAAGCATCTCCACAGGTACATCTCTAACTTTCTCCTGCCACTGGATTGAAGAGCTAAGAGTGTAAGGAGAGAGTGTGCAAAGAAAAAGTGGATTTTGGCACCTGGCTGTTTTACAGCAAAGTGATTTGTAGGAAGAACATACCCAGGAATAACTCCCCTTCCCAATGGTTGGCTGAAGTGCTGTTTGCAGAGAGACAAAATAGAATTTTTCTTAAACTCAAGTGGGGCCTTCACATCTCCTGAAAAAAATTATCACTAAAAATTCACAGGGGTTCCCATTTGGCTTTCAGCCATAGGTTTTGTTTGAAGCACCATACATAGGAACTCATCCTGCCAACGAAGCCGTCAGGCACCCTGGAGTATATACTAGAGCTGTGGCAACAGTTACCAACACTGTATGGAAGCACCACGGGCTGGCCAGCATAGGAGACAGTTACAGACACCGGGATCTGATCAAAGCACTGCAAGATGAAATACTTCTCCACAAAAAGTACCACAGGGTTTTCAATGCCCACAAGTGGTCAGGAGCTGGTTTTCCATCTCATCTATCTGGTTTAGCTGCCTGGCAAGATCACACCTCACATTTAGTGCATTAATTTTCCCCAACACTTCTTTGAGCAGGCAAAATATTTCTGGCCCTTTGCAGGAGGGAAAGCAAGGTAAGGAGGCACACCAGGAGTTCCTAGTAGAGCAAAGAACTGAACCCTACTGGTTTCCAACACACTCAGCCCTACAGCAACTTTATCCAACCCCAAGAAGCCACCAGAACCCTTCAGGCCTTTAATCCATGGGCCACCCTTCTCCATCCCCAAGACACCATCAACACCCACCACACCTTTAATCCCTGGGCTCTGGTTTCTGCACACGAGTATGTGGACAGGGGGGAATTTTTCTTTCCTGCAGCTCTGCATTTTTATCCTATTTATCTCTTCATTCTGCAGGGCCAGGCTGTGCTGTGGACGAGCCAGCAGAATTGGAGGGCACATTTCCACAGCACATTATTCAGTGCCTCCCTGTTGGTCTGCACATGGAGCTGTGTGAATGAGCGAGGGTTGCAAAATGTATTTTGCCTGGGGCAGTGAAATAGCTGAGGCCAACCTTGTCATTCTGTTTCGCTCACTCTTTTCCCACCCTCTCTCTATCTTGGCTTTTCCTTTTCTTTCTCTCTTTGTTGTCTTGGTTACATGGGCAGATTCCTGATATGCTGCTAGTTTTCATTTTAATGATACGTTCCTGTAAAGCACAATATTTTACTTCAGTTGTGTGTGCCACTGGATAAATTCCTTTGACATATGTGACATTTGTATATCAACTAGCAGAGATTGCTTTATGACTGTGGGTATTTTGCAGCACATTCACGGATTGCATGCATCAAAATGTGATATACAGCCTGTCTCCTTTGTATGAAAACACACACAGAGGAAAAGACTGAAACTGCAGAAAAAAAATAAGGAAAGTTTCTCCAAACCCATCTTGTAATGACTTGCAGCAAGTCTTCCAACAACTGTGTAGATCCTGCTACCTTGAAGATAATCTAGTAACTCCTTTCTTTGTGCCATCCAAAGTACTTCACAGTAGCTTGACTGAGTAGCTGCACTGCAGCAGGAGGAAGAGCAGCACATACCATGCATGGTGGGATCCAGCAAGCAGGGGAAAAAAAAAAAGACAGCTCCTGGGCTTTGTCCACTGGTACATGGAGTTTCATCTAATCCTACAAAGCTTATTCCAATTTAGCCATAGGCATTTATTTTTTTAAAAACATAAATCAAGCTTCATGCTGACATAATGGATTATGTTGGAGTCACAATACCAGGATAGTTTTTTCCCCTTGCTTCCTGTTCAAAAGCACCTGATTGATGAGCCAAGATGGAAAACAAAGCTTCAAAAAGCCCATGAAGCCTTGGCAAAGTTTCAAGTGAAAACCCTGAGTGCCAAACTGGCCCTGTGTGGCACTCGGGGGGAACACAGGCTGGTGTCCTGAGCTCAGATGCCCTCAGGAGCCCTGGAGGAGGGCAGCATGTGGAGGAGAGATCATAGCAAGGAAGAGGATGAACCTGCAGGAACTGAAGGCTTCCAGAAGCCTTCATCAACTGGTGCAAAACAGCCACACATGTCCAAGGGAGCCCCATTTTAATTTGCATTCTGCCTCTCTGGTGGAGACTTAGCTAAGGAAGATCTCAGCCCAACACTCCAGCTCTGCTTGAGCACACAGACCAAATGCACCAACTACCACAGACAGAATATTCAGCACATTAGGAAAAAAGGAATAAAATGCAGCTTTCTCCAATTACATCAGCTACTTCAGCTCCCCTCTGCTCATTCTTTACCCTATAAGGCTGTCCCTGCTCTCTGCCACACTAAAGCTTTCTCATTCCTGTTTTCCCCTATTAAAAGGAATTAGATCTTGGATTCTGCAATGTGACCTGTAAAGGCAGTCAGAGCTGTGTCTGAGTTTGTTTCTCCTGAAGACAAAAGAAAAATCAAAAGCCTACATGTGCAGGGAAGCTGCAGTCATTCTTCACTGCTAAGGTCTTTTGGATATTTACCATTCAGATCTCAGCTCCCCACTCCTTCCTTCTCTCAAGAGACTGGAGAACTAAACAGTTTATTATGATATTACAGATGACAAAGAAGCAAAACTTAATTAGTCAGAAGAAGAGATTATTTTTATTACAACTGTTTAAAAAACAGTCTGGCTCCTTCACCACATGCTTGAATAGACTGTTTCAAAAAAATATTCTCCTCTCAAAAGCATCTGTGGCTTTTACTCTGTTGAACAAAGCCAGAGACTTTTGCCAGTGGGTAGGATCCCCTTCCCTTTGCAGGCTTCCCTCAGCACAAGAGTAATGTCATCTGAATTTACAACCCTGATTTTCTTTGCTTGAAAAGAAACAGGTAGAGGAACAAAACCAGAGATTTGAGACTTTCCTTAGGCATCCATGAACAAATTACTCCCTTCCCCCTGTCTGCTCTGCCCATCTTACACAAAGCAACAGGAGGTCACTTTTTTTATAACGCCTTCCTTCCCCCAGGTTAGGAGTTTTTATTTGCAAAAGAAATTCAAAGAGACACCAACATCAAATGCAACCCCTGAGGCTCTGCCCAACCTTCTCTCCCAGCTTCTCAGCCATCTCCATTAGTAGTGCAAAGCCACCATCCCCTTGTACATACAAGCTTTTGTAACACTCCTGAGCTGAGCATCAAGACCAACAACGTCAGAACGGCCCACAGGGGTTGAAATGGAGGCAGTGTCCACCATTATCATAAGAAGGCCACTTTTAATGCCTCTTCTTGCCTTTAGAAAACCATAGGTAGATGATTCCCAGTTTCCACCTCTGAAGCCTCTCTATTGTTGCCTTACATGGTAAAACTACAGAGCACAGGCATGCGACAAGCATGTTCTTAGTGAGAACGCAGAGAGGATCATCAACACACTCTTCATTGTATTTGGGTTTATGGAGCATCCACCATAAACATAATGCTCATTATTGTTCAAGACACAGCTTTCTTTTGATGAAAACACTCTTCATTCAGTACAAGAACCCAGCCTGACCAGAACTGAGCAACCTCCAATCCCATGCTGGGCTCGTGGTAAAACAACGGTCCAGTCACATTGCTCTGAAGAAAGATCTCCAGAGTGTGAATCTTGTTGCTTAACAAACTTCAGCCACAGTCAGTTTTTCCTCCAGGATGCACAGATACCCTGTGATCAACTACTTAATTAGAGATGGTCTGAACACACACAAAAAATCTGTTGAATGCAAACTGACTTTAGCTGTGGTTTGACTTCAGAAACATCCATTTGCTGATGAACAACAATTTGGAAGAAAGATTTTCTCCTTTCTCACATCAGCTCTATCCCTTGAGGGTGAAACTGTTGGGGTTTTTTTGCCAGCCAGAGCCTTTTTGGATAAAGGCTGTGCTCACACTCAATGCAACACTGCCAAACTCCATAAGAAGATGAAAATCTGTTTAAAAGGATCACATTAGGTCTTACCTTCTTGAGTTTTCCACTCTTGGTGCCCACAAAAGCCAAGGAGTGGTTCTTGTAGACGTAGGCAATCACAGATGTCATTCTGTCTCCATCCTCAGTGAAAATGGGGAGTCCTCGTACCATGGATGATACTCCCAAGGGGGCATTCATATCCAGGCCACAGAAATTGTCATCAATTGTTAACAGCTGTAGACAAAAAAAAAGAGGATTATAAAAAAAGCCTTGAAGCCACTGGGATTTTTCACCACTTGTGAAATATCCATCCAAGCAGGGACACCATTGCATAATGTGCTCAGACTTTATGAAGGCTGACAAATCAGTGACAAAGGCAGGACTGGAGAAATACAGAAGTGGAAAAAAAAATGTCCAGAGTTTCATAATGAGTTATAGACAGAAGGAGAACTGGAAACTTACTCCTCTTGAATGACAGCCCAGCAGGATACATTACATTAAGCTTTTTTCCTACTGCTTTACCAGTCAAGACCCAGCAATCAAAGACAAAGTCTGCTGAAAATGCCTGAAACTTATCTTGTTCTGTCAAAAAAAAAAAGTATGCACATCATTCCCATAGGATTCAGAGTAAGAACCACTGAGTTGAGCCTCCACTGGGGAATAAAATAGACCCTGGCCTGCCCTTCGACTCCAAGACCCAGTAGTAAGGCTCACACCTACTAAAACTAAATAACCACTCCCCTCACACCTGAAAACATTGTAGCATCACTCATGCTGATCTTGGAAATCACAATCCCCCAAGGCATGTCCAGGCATGGGCTGGGAGACAGCTGGTCAGCTTAGGCTAAGTCTGCAGTAGGGACCATGCCAAGGATTAAACGTTACAAACAGTGTCTGCACACACTCCCCATTCCTAGGGTTATCTTAGTCATAGAATAGAAACATAGAATCATTTTGGTTGGAAAAGACCTTTAAGATCATGATGTCCAACTGCTAACTCAGCACCTCTAAGGCCACCACTGCGCCATGTCCCTCAGCACCACCAGATACGTGGCTTTGAAATCCCTCCAGGGACTTCACCACTGCCCTGGGCAGCCTGTGCCAGGGCCTGGCAGCCTTTCAGGAAAGAAATTGTTCCTAACACCTAATCTAAACCTCCCCTGGCACAACTTGAGACCATTTTCTCCAGTCCTATCACTTGCTACTTGGGAGAAGAGACCAACAGGCACACCCTCCCCATACATCAGAGTTTTAGCTGATGACAGGCATGCCCTCCCCATACATCAGAGTTTTAGCTGATGACCAAGATAACAGATTCTCTCTCTTATCCCCCAACTAACTTCCCAGGGGAAGAAGGCAGAGAGACTTTAAGGTTAAAAAGTTTTCCTAGTTTTTTTGTTTGTTTTCCAATGAAACAATAGAGAGAGAGACTTTAAGGTTAAAAAAAGTTTTCCTGGTTTTTTTTGTTTGTTTTCCAATGAAACAATAGATACTAATAATATTAATGATGAGCTGAATTACAGAAAAACACACAAATATGGAACTCACACTCCTCAGCTGGTTATTACTTCCCAACCAGACAAGTTTCCAACTGGACTCTGCAGCAGGTATCAGTGCCTGAATCCAAGGTCCCAATGACATTCCACAAAAGCCTTGGAGTGGCTAAGCCAGTTCCACTCAGGAAGGCAGGAGAAGGCAACCTGTCTCCATGGAAGGTGTTCTCTCTCAAGAAAACAGAATGCAGCAGCACAGGAACATATGACAAAGAAGCCCAGCCAAAACACCATCCAGAAAAGCCAAAGGAGAGCTTGCTGAGGAGCCATTTTATACTGAGCACAATGAGCAGGATGGCTGTGATTAGTACATTTGGGTCACCTGAACCATCCTCTCCTCCCCTCAGGCACAGCTGCTCCCCCTGCTGTAATTGCCACAGCCCAGGGAGCTGGGAAGGCTCTGGGGAGCTCTCAGGTCACTATGGCCATAGCCAACTTCTATCCTGCTCTTCTCAAACCAGGACACTACAATCTCCTTTCAAGTAGTTGTAGAGAGCAAGGAGGTCTCTCCTCAGCCCCCTTTCCCCATGCTAAACACCCTCAGCTCTCTCTCAGCTGCTCCTTGTTCTTGCAGACTTGTGCTCTAGATGAGGGCACTTAGTGTCTCATTATTGCTGAGGGTGTTTCTCTGGGCTTCAGGGAGTTACACAAGTGCAGCAACAGAACACTACAAACAACTCTTCTACCTCATGGCACCACCTGAACAGCAGGTGAGGTTGGTACAGGTTGCCAATATGAGGATCTTAACAGAATAAGACAAACAAAGATGAAGCTCCAAATATCACAAGACACAATTGCTAAAACAGTGAAACTTGAATCACTTCCCTGTGACCACTCAGAGCACTGAAGCTGAGTATCCACTTAAAATGTTTTGCTAGGCTAATCCCTAGAAAGGCAATAATTAATTGTACAGGAAGGTTGCCTAATTTTCATATACAAGTTATAAAGGATCATGAAAATTTCCTTTATCTGAGCTCAGATCCTTCTGGAAGCATGGCTAGAATAGGGGCTGCTCCTTACTTGAGCTCACAAGCAGTAAAAGCTTAATAGTTAATGCATTTTGTCCTCACCCAGCAATTATAGGGAATAATTACAGATAGTTTTACTGAATGGAAAAATAATGTATCCTAAATGTATTTATAAACACATAAAACCTATGAGGAATTCAAACAGCCATTAGTAAGGAACAGCTAGCCTGAGCTCTGGCCTCCAAGAGCCATTAGTGTTAGTGGCCTGCCCTTTTGGAGATAAAATAACAGCTCAAAGAGCAATTACAGATCAGATCAGCAGCCACCGTGAGCAGCAGACAGGATGATCCTAGTCTACAGTGCCAGGACAAAGTCTAAAGTCTGCATCCTACACCCAAAGGCCAAATTCCTCAGAGATTTAGTGCCACTGATCAGATGGCCACATTTCAGAGAGCCAGGACACCCCTACTGATGGCAGGACTGCCAAAAGCTGAGTGTTTCTGTGGATAAAGAGAACACACATGGCTTCATCACATAGATGGAAAAGCTGCAGCTTGATTACTCAAGAAGTACAACTACCCAGGTCTTTCTGAAAGCCATGAGACACTGCCTGGATCAATGCCCTGGATCACCTTCTGATAGAGCCAGTTGATTGCTACAGGATTTAACTCAAGCTAAGCCTCTAACATGAAGGTATATCATGCTTTGGACAGAAGGCTGCACTATATGACTTGTTGGGGTCCCTTCCAACCTCTTATGGATGCAGAAGGTGAGAAGAATCTGGGTATTGAAGTCAGGGCCACTTTGACTGGAAACTCTTCAGTTCTCAAAGTGATGTGATCTGTGTTTGAAGGCTGTAAGAAAACTATGTTTGTGTCTCACTCAAGCACGTGCTCTGACAGGCTGAGAGATTCATAGTTTCAGAGCTAAAGCAAGAAATTCCCTTCTAAAAAGGAAAGAAGGAAGTGCATGGGAAGAAAGTCCTGTTTTGTCATGGTTTTAAAGGAAAACAAGAGATGGGAAGTAGCTTTCTTTGTTACCATGAGGATGAAGAACTTAATAGTGCCAGCAGACATATAACCTAGGGTGCAGCATCTGGAGCTCCATCTCAAACAAAAGGAAATCACACCGACAAGCAGTGAAATGAGAGCAATCAAGCAGAGCTGGCACAGTCTGAGGCATCCTCCTTGGTGTAGCCCAGCCTCCCACACACTCCTCTCCCTGCAGCACAGCCAAAACCAACTACTCCACTTGAAGCACTTGTCTGAAAGGACCCAAGCAGTCATCTGGTCTGCCTTCCTGGCCCAGGACCTCAAATCTCAGGCAGGAGCTGCCTGTGCTGTTTTGCAGGGAGATACAAACTACTTCTGCTTTGCTCCCCAGGCAGAGTCTGAATCTGGGAGACTGTAAGGATCCAGCACTGAGCCCTCTTAACACACTCTATCAACTGCCAGGATGTGTGAGCCAGAGTATGTGATTGTTGTAGATGCATATCAGAGCTCACATAAGCAGAAGAAGCTTTCATCCTCCTGCAAAACCCTAAGAGGATATAGACCTAGAGAACCCAGAATCAAGCACAATAGCCTGTAGCAGATCTGCAGCACATCTCCAACCTGTTAAGCCATAATTATTCCCATTGCCACAGGGTAGTTCCTCCTCCATCAGACTGGGCCCAGCTCCAGCTGAACTCAGACCTACCTTTAATGGGGCTGATAAAATGGTTTTCCCCCATACAAACACAAAACTAAATTTAATCCAATTTATTTAATCTTACTTCCTGGATATTACTTACAAAAGGACACAAACTTATAAGAAGGATTTGAAAGAAAGATGGGGACAGACTTCTTAGTAGGACCTGAAATGATAGGACAGGGGGTGATGATTTTAAATTAAAAGAGAAGAGATTCAGACTAGATGTAAGGAAGAAATTTTTTACAGTGAGGATAGTGAAACATTGGTACAGGTTATCTAGAGAGGTGGTAGATGCCCCATCCCTGGAAACTCTCAAGGTCAGGGTGGACAGGGCTCTGAGCAACCTGATCTAGTGGAAGGGGTCCCTGCCCATGACCTGGGGCTTGGACTAGATGACCTTTAAAGGTCTCTTCCAGCACAAACCATGTTGTGTGGGTGCTGAAGAAACCATCACAGAATCATCCCAATTGGAAAAGACCTCTAAGGTCTCTGAGTCCACCCAGGGGAAAGAAGGAAAAAAAAAAAAAAACACCAAAAAAAGCACACACAAAAAAACCCAAGAAAAAATCCCACAAAACCACAACCACACACCCCACAAAACCAACAACACACAACCCATAAAAAACCCACCATGCCCACTAGAGCGTGCCTGGAAGTGCCACATCTACACTTGTCTTTGAACACATCCAGGGATGGTGACTCAAACCACCTCCCTGGGCAGCCTGAGCCAGTGCCTGACCACTCTTTCAGTAAAGTAATTCTTGCTAATATCTAGTCTAAACCTCCCCTGGTGCTACTTAACCCAGGTTTATTCACTTGGGAGAAGAAGCCAACAGCTACTTCTCTACAACTTCCTCCTTTCAGGTAGTTGTAGAGAGCAATGAGGTCTCCCTTCAGCCTCCTCTTCTCCAAACTAAACAATCCCAGTTCCCTCAACTTCTCCTCACAGGACATGTTCTCTAGACTCTTTTCCAGCTCCATTGCCCTTCTCTGAACATGTTCCAACAACTCAATGTCCTTC